GCACAATCGAAATGATCAGCCACGTCATCGAGCATGCCAAAGCAGAATTGACTTCAAGAGGCGCGATGATGCCACGACATCTGTGGCTACAAGTTGACAATACATCACGAGAAAATAGAAACAACACCGTGCTTACGTTCTTATCTTACATCACTGCTCGGCATTGCTTCCGCACTGCAACGTGGGCGGGCATGCAGGTAGGGCACACGCACATCGACCAGGACCAGAGGTTCAGCGTATGTGGAGCTATCATTGCAAGAGAAAGTGTGTTGGAAAACCTGGTGGATGTGATGGATGTCATGCGGAGGAAAGTGAAGCCTTCCCGGGGCAGAGCCTTGGTCGTCGAGCAACTTCATGTGGCTCGCAACTGGACCAATTTCTTTGCACCTCTCAACAATCCATATACTGGCCATGCTGGAAAGGGTTCTTCGCATCTCTATATGTTCGTACGCTACGAAGACATGGTGATTGGTGGGGACGACAAGCAGCTGGACTTTGGAAAGTTTTCGATCAGCTCTGAAAGCGAACTACGAGGCGATGATGTCTTCCTGATGGTCAAGCACTACATGTCCAGCAAGGCGTTGTCGCAAACACCACTGCTTGTGATGCGCGCAGCTGACCTGCAGTTCTTAGACAGTTCGAGGGTCACCCCAGGACCGAATCTTGTAGTCATGGCGCGAAATCTCATCGGAAGGGAGTTGGCCAAGAAGTACACGAAAACAAGTGAAGCTGTGAGTCTGGACCCTTGGTGCATGGACAGGGCTGCCCAATACCTGTCAGAATGGGTCAGGCAGAATGTTGAGAAGACCTTGCACATCGATAAGTTGTGGGATTTGGAATTTGTTCTGAAGCCGTGGTGCCAGGAAGAGAGAATGGACGCCAGCATTGCAATACAATGGCAAGACTTTGCACCTCAGGAGCCCAAACTTGTTAGCCAAAAGCGAGGCCTGCCTAATCCAGGGGCAACGTGGGCTCCAGCAGGCAGAAAAACAAAGGCTGATGTGAACCAGAAACTGAGCCTGGGCCCCAAAGCTAAGAAGATGAAGCCTCATGTGGCACTGGCGAAATCCAAGGGCAAGAGGACTCGAGCCAGGGCTGAATCACCAAGTGTGCAACAGGAAGAGGACCTCCCCGTGGATTTTTCAGATGATCAAGCTGAGCCCGGGACTCCTTGTGACTTATCAACGGGTCATCTCGCTGGAGCTGACAGCAGGGCGCAGCCGCCAGCAGCCGAGGCGAGCCCCCTGCACACACCAGAGGAGGCTGACGTTGAGAAAACTGTGGTCCCACTGCCTGAGGACATCGCGTCAGCAGATGAGGCTGCGCAAGTACATGATGAGGAACGCTCCCATCCAGGATCTGCGATGGATGGGAGTCCAGCGCTGACATCGCCACCATCATCATCATCAGAGGCTGAGCTGCCAGAGGAGGCCCCAGAGGAGGCCCCAGAGGAGGCCCCAGAGGAGGCCCTAGAGGAGGCCCCAGGAGCCCCAGAGGAGGCCCTGGATGAGGCCTCAGAGGAGGCCCCCGAGGAGGCCCCAGTAGAACCAGCGCACCCTGCAATGCCAGCAGTCCCGGCAGCGCGAGATCTGCCAGCTTTTGGTTTGATGGGGCGCGTGCCACCGCGCCCGCCAGGCTGTGGACCCTTCGGCTGCCCAAAATGCACGTGGGTAGACAACGGCTGCAAGGCCTGCCGCCGGCACCTCGGATGGACCCTTGTGCTAGAGCATGGTCGTAAATATTGGCAGAGGCTTTGAACAATTACGCTCGAGGGGCGCCTGCTTTGAAAAAAATGGTAAAGTGTTTCTCCGAACATGCCATGTCAGACTGTGTGGACCCCAAACGGTGTGCCCATGGGTCGGCACCAGGCGCCAACGAGACGATGCCTTGGAATATCCACACACGAAATTCCATTGGCCAAGAAAAGAGAAGAGGGAATCCCTAATCGTAAGCACTGTTAGGGGAATCGACAGACCAATTGACATCAACATCTTTGGAGATTGTGGCACGCCCAACACTGCCAGCAAGAAAATACATGTGCTATCGTCTTCATCGCCCAGCAGGGGGGTCCTGCCATGGTGACGTTTTGAAGGTCCTGGGGTCCTTTGCTGAAAGTTCCGGGGAGCTTCCTGTGGTAAAATCATCAGGGACACTTCGAAATATCGTCGATCCCTACCTCGCCATGGACACGACTGCCCTGAAACAAACAGCACTTCGGCATAGTAAGCCCATGGACCCCAGTCTGTAGTCCTAGGCTCCTCTGATCGTATGCCCCCTCGTCCTACTCATCTGCTTCTCTACTCGTCTGATTCTTACTTTCCCCATGCCCTCTGCGGAGGAGGTGGGACGGCCTCTGCTGTTCAAACGAGTTTGGAAAACAACGCGAGGACCAGGAGGAGGAGAAGGAGCAGGGAGAGGAAGGGGAGAGGAGGGAGGAGGAAGAGGATGAGGAAGATGAGGAGTAGGAGGGGGAGACGGTAAGAATGGTCTTTTGCATTAACGCATCTTAGACATAGCCAGCTGCGAATTAGCGTAGAGGGAGGGGACCCAGACGGGGCAGGTGGAGCTGGAGCGACAACCCTAAAGATATTCAAGACTATCCGAGCAGACCACCTGTAAAGTACAGTCCTCAAAAACCCGAAGGTTTTACCCGAAGGGAGGAGCTCCTCCTCCTCCCTCCTCCTCCGGCGCCTCCCTCCACCTCCTCCCTCCTCCCTCCTCTCTCCTCACTCCTCATGCGTTCTCCCTCCTCCTTCCTCCTTGTCATCTTGGGCCGTTTTGGCGACATTGTGTGCACGGAGCGAATGCCAGCTTCATGAATCGTCACTGTTGTACACGTTGTCCGTAAGCATGTAGGCTCAAATTTGTACACCTTCCATGTCTGATATCAGTGAAGATCCAGCGTTGACTTCAGAAGGCGATGCCAGCGATGTGGATTGCCCTGATGAGCATTTGGCTGTGCATGATGAGGCGAGCATGAGCAGCATCGCCATGACCAGTGACAGTTCTAGCGATGCCAGTGACACCGCCCTGACCAGTGAGGGCGATGATGAGTTTGACAGCGCCTGCACAAATCACGTTGACATTGACCCTATTCCCAGGTATTTGGATGGAACTGTGCCCGACGACTTTGTCGAAATATTTTCGCCGCCCAGGCTTGTGCCTGAATGTGCAAAACGAGGGCTACGAGCAAATCTCAGCGTTGACCTGGTTACAGGCTGGGATCTTTCGCGACTTGTGACACGAGATCTGGTCAAGGCGCAAGTCCGCGCCAGAAGGCCTCGCGCTCTTGGGCTGTCTGCTCCATGCACGATGTTCTCAGAGATAAACCGCTTGTGGAACCAAAAGAAATACAACAAGGAGGAGTGGGCCGCACGTTTGATGGCAGCTTTGACACTCTTGCAATTCAGCATGGACTTGGCTCGAGAACAATTAGCTGGAGGGCGCATGTTCTTTCATGAGCACCCGCGTAGCGCAAGTAGCTGGAATGAAGATTGCGTCAACACCATTAGTTCTCACGATGGTTGCATGCATGCTTGCTTTGACCAGTGCCGTTTCGGATTAATGACTCCTATCAGTAGAGTGCCTATGAAAAAGGCAACGAAGATATTGCATAACATCGCTGCGCTGCAACCCATTTTCCACAAAAAACACTGCAAGTGCAAGAAGATGAAGCTTCCTTCAGGCAGCACTGGCCGGCACCAGCGTATTCAAGGTTCTGAAGGGAAGTACAAGCTGTCACGGTGGGCCCAATGCTACTCCACAGATATGGTGAACGCTTTGGTGGATGGGATTTCGACAGAGCTAGCTTCGAAAGCGATCGCATAAGTCTGTCCCAAACCTGTCGCTATTAGCTTCACTTTCACTCTAAGAGTGTGCTGACAATCGCACGTTGGTTGGTCGCTCACTGTGGGCTGCCACAAAAAAACAACATCATCATCACCACCACCACCACCACCATCATCATCATCATCATCATCATCATCATCATCATCATCATCATCATCATCATCATCATCCTCATTCTCATCCTCATCCTCATCATCATCATCATCATCATCATCATCATCATCATCATCATCATCATCCTCATCCTCATCCTCATCATCATTATCTGTTCCCGTGCTGCTGCTGTCATTGCCTGTCCCCCGGAGCGCCGTCACAAAGCGCTCCCGGCTGCCCCAAACCGCGATCCGTCACGAGATCTCCTGAACTCAGCCGTCACCGACGGCCCCAGCCTCTCCAAAACCGCGATCCGTCACGAGATCTCCTGAACTCAGCCGTCACCGACGGCCCTGGCTTCTCCAAAACTGCGATCCGTCACGAGATCTCCTGAACCCCACCGTCTTCGAGAGATCTCTGAAGTAAGGGCCTCCTGAGGCAGGCAGGCCAGATCCAGGAGATCTCCGATGTTGGAATTCTGTTGTCGAGATCTCCTGGATCCCAGGGAGTTCAAGAGATATCGTCGTAAAAACGAAGATCCAGGAGATCTCATATGTTGGAAATCCTGCATTGGAGATCTCCTGGATCCTCCAGAATGCGACGATATCTCCTGGACCCCCAGGGTTCCAGGAGATCTCACATGTTGGAAATCCTGCATCGGAGATCTCCTGGATCTGGGCTGGGGGGTGCGCAACCTTGAAGATGGGGTAAGAGAAGCCCAATGTGACGACCACAAGGATCTCAATCAGAGAAGATATGCATAGGTTCGTGAACGTGGGCCCCACACAGTGACCAAGTTTGCCGTAGAGGTTGAAACCATATGTTGTGAGCTTTGTTGTGCAAGCTATGTGTTGTGCGGTTGTCCACCCAACTCCTTAGTCGTAATGAAGAGAACCTCTGTGCAAGCAATGTTTGGGGAATGATGCTTTGGGGGCGGACTTCGTTTCCTAAGAACACGCCCTTCCTCCTCCTCCCTCTCCTGGTCCTCCTCCATGTGCCACAGCCGTTTTGGCGCAACAACTTTGAGGTGCTCTATTGCACGTGGAGCTGGGCAGGTGATGGCCCAGCCACCAGGTGATGACTGGACCGCGCCCATGGATGTGGGTAGCACAACTGAGGTCAGAGAGAGTGGTGCGACTGCCGGCAAGCTGAAGGACAACCTCATGAGCAAAGTGTTGGGTCTATCATTGGAGCATGGCGGGCTCAACAGATATTTGCAGAAGAAGTACAACACAGTTGAGAAAAAGAAGGAGTTCGTCAACTTGCTGAAGACTCATGTTCCGATTGGTACATCAATCGACTACAATCACCAGCAAACCGTCGCCGAGACACCGGATGGCAACACTTACAAGGTTCACGTGTCCATGCTGGGATTTGACAAGGTGGCCTCCTGCAAGTACCTGGTGGAGCACTCGGTCGTGGAAAAGCTGATTCCAGAGATCATCCACGACGGCTTCGTGACCACCAGCGAGCCGTTAGTCTGCCATCAGCCCAAGGAGCTGCAGATCGCGGAGCTCATGCCTACAGAGAACCAGATGAGCCACTTCAGCCTTGCGTATGTGAAGGGAATGGCCCGGGCTTGTACGCTGTTAACTCTCTTGGACGTGATCTTGGCAGATGGTGCCCAGGAGTTCTTGGACACATTCAAGACAGTGGTCGACAGCGCCAAGGTGATCACTATCAGGGTGCAGATTGCGATAGACCGAATTGCCCTTGCAGTCGAAAATGCGAAGCTCGCCCAACGTGGACGTATACGCAAGGCAAACAATGTCGTGACATGGGCTGGCATCGTCCTGGAGCTCAAGGCACATGGAATCACTGATCCGCAGACTCTGGTTCGGGCCTGGAATGAGAAGTGCGCGACGAAGGAGGCGCAGATCATCGGCCAGAAGCGCACAGCTCTTCTTTCCATCCTGAGCTTGAGTGACCACGCCCTGAACACTCTCTTCGAGATCGTGGCAGAGAATGGATGGGAACACTCCCCCTTCACCGAGGACTTCCTCGCCTCGCCGAAGCTCAAGAAGGACTGGTACCAAAGGAACGTTTCCAAGGCCTGGCAGCACCGCACCAAGGTCACTAGCAAGGCCCAGGAGCTGATGATGGACACTCTTCAAGTGCACTATCGTACCCTCCCGGTGAGCGCCAGGAAGAAGATGAGCAGATCGGACCTCGAAGAGCTACTGCTGGTGGTTTCAGTTGCGGTCAATCTATGCGACGAGGTCAAGGAGCAGATGCCAATCCCAGACGAGGTCCTCTACAAGAGCTTCCTCGACCTTGTTGTCTGTTCTGACCAGGCGGTCATACTCGAGCTCCAAATGGCAGTGGCGTCCAAGGACCAGAGCTTCAAGCCTGCTGACGTCCAGTGCCTGAAGAACATCATGCAAGCTCACGTTGCCAACACTGCGAACAGCGTCATGCATTTGCAGGCTGACGTCGACATGGAGGCTGGGAAGCTGGAGCAGAAGGCCATGGAGTTAGATATGGAGAAGATCGAGAACGACTGCAAGCGCTTCGACATCTGGAAGACCAAGATGTTGGATCGCGAGGCCCAGGACTACTATCAAGAGCTGGACTGGAAGAGGAAGCAGGTCGAGGCTGGCGAGCTCTTCGCAGACGAGTGGGTGGAGAAGCATATCTGCATTCTTGGGGAGGTGGAAGCAACAACTGCTGGGCGCAACATCCAACATCTCGCTGAATTTCACACCAAGAGCGTGGAGACCGTCAACCTCAGCAAGGGTGCCAAAAAGGTGGTGATAGGCCTCCTCAACTGGGTATCGCCATCCCAGAATGGAGCAGATCTCCGTCGCCACCAGATCGAGTTGATGAGCTTGTTGGACAGCTCTGAGAACAGCTTCACAACAGGAGCTGCACTTGGGGGAGGATGGAGAGAAGGAATAGCAGTCCCTCGAAGTAGAAGGAGGAGGAGGAGGAGGAGGAGGAGGAGGAGCTGGGGCAGGTGTTGTTTTTTCAAACTGGCTTGAAAAACACCGGGTGGGGAGGGGGAGAAGAAGGAGGAGCAGGTGTTTGTTTTCAAAAGGGTTCGCGCAAATCCGAGGAGAGAAGGAGGAGGAAGAGGAGGAGAAGGGAGGGTTGAGAAGGAGAGGGTCCCTGCTATTCACCACCTCCATCTTCCTCCTTGCTACAGGAGTCCTGGTGCTGATGCCGAACTTCGTATACAAGAAGGCGTCATTATGGATGGCAGAGATCAACGCCCTGAAGAGCCTATCCCAGACTGGCTTCAATAGCGACCACAAGTTTTCTGTTATGTTCGAGGAAGGCTCTGCTGATGCTCGCGACGAGAGGCCTGGTAATTACGATGGACGCTTCTGTATCCCGATACCTCGTGAGGGAAAGGATGGGGTGAATTGCTTTGTCAAGAGCAGGCTCTGGGTCCAAGGGTTTACAGATAGAGTGCCGTTCACGAAATCGTCTGATATGATGCAGATCGAGGACATGAGCGAGGACGCCATGCCAGAAGTGAGGGACGAGAAGCATACGATGTGTCCTTCGCTCCGTTTTCAGCAAGTGGGAATGCAAGCCATCGAAAGCATGGTCCGGGGAGCTACTGAGGGTATCTCTTCGAGCACTGAGCTGAGTGGGAACGCGTTGAACATCATGATCGTGGACTTCAGCGCTGATGCTGGTGTATCTATCAAGGCATTCCTGAACATCGTCTCCTCTTTCGAAGTGCCAGTGTCCCTGGCGCTGCTGCCAGAGAACGTCCGACAGACTGAGTGGCTAAAGGAGCTTGCCAGGAGGGAGGTTGCAAGTGGCTGGCTCAATAGCCAAATCAAGGACAAGAAGGCACCTCCACCCAAAGCCATGCCCCAGGAGGAGAAACATAGTTTTCCAGACAAGCCAGCGTTGTCTATCTTGACGTGGGCGCAGAAGGTCGGGGAGCTCGACTCGATCAAGATCCCTGCTCACGTCACTGACAAGTGGTCGGCAAAGGAGAAGTTCAACGAGTTCATGCAGAAGCTGGAGGCCAAGTACGGCGACATGTCATCCAAGAAGAGGGCGCTTGAATCCCATGGAGATCCAGGGACTCCTTCACCACACAAGGCCTTGAAGGTCGATAGGGATGCGACTCCTCCACCCAAGCAGGTCAACACGATGTCCCTGAGCGAGATCACCACGACACCCTTGGCAGATATCACCATTGCAAACTTGAAATCCAACCAAATCGTTCTGCAGTTCATGGTCAATGATGTTGTGTTCCTTTGCAACAAGAGCGACGCTGACGTCACCCTGCCGGCACATCACGTGCTAGTCCTCTTCCCGACGAAAGGCTCCAAGTTCGAGAAGACGCCTGCGAATGACGGCAAATCCATGGAGTACAAGCTCGGATCCCAGGATGAGATGATTGCCCTCGGTTCCATGGTCCAGGATACGATAGCAATGAGAGGAGGATCAGGAGGAGGACGGTTTGAAATGAGTTTTCCCCGAATGGTTTTCAACAGAAACTGGGCTCAAATATTTAGTCTCAGTGTCCTGGGTCCGCTTCTTTGTTTCCGGGCAGGCCTCCTTGGCCAAACGTTCTCCCTTCAGAGGACCTGTACAAGACAGTCAAGGACAAGAAGAAGCAGGAGCCCAAGCTCGCGAAGGTGTGCTTTCACACCTTGAAGGACGTAGCCACTGCAGAAAAGCCTGGCTCGTTCTCGATCGATGTCAAGGTACAGGTGCATTTCAACATCCAGGAGCGCATCAAGGTCGAGGATGACAACGAGAAGAAGCTCAAGACATCATTCCAGAACGCAGGGGCCTTGATTCCGATCAAAAAGTGGCTCGAGGCCCCGTTGCTCAAGATCATGTGGTCGTGCAAGTGGAGCCCCAAGGGTCTCGTCCCGGTGTGCCCCAAGGTGGTTACCAAGGAAGCGATCAGCCTCCCCCCCGGCAGTGGCATCAAGCTCCTGTGATTCGAGGTTTTCAGATTTCACGTGCTTGCTCGAGCCCGAGATTCGCAGGTCCTGCTAGTAGGACATGGGCTGTTTGAGGCCACGCTGAGGGTTGAGATGAGCGTTCAGTATCTCAGGATGTGTGTGGCTTGCATTCAGTGGCTTGTGATGTTAGCAGCGTGCCTGCAAGCAACTATCCTTTTGAATTTAACGTGTGTGCGGTAGCCCTCCACCTCCTTCACCTCCTCCTCCTCCTTCTCCTCCTCCTCCTCCCTCTTCCCCTCTTCCTCCTCCTCCTCGTCCCTCTCCTCCTCCTCCTCCTCCTCCTCCTCCTCCTCCTCCTCCTCCCCTCCTCATCCCTCTCCTCCTCCTCCCCCTCCTCCTCCTTCTCCTCATCCACATTCACCTCCTCCTGTTCAACATCATCCTCCCCATCCACCTCCTCTTCGTCCCCTGCATCCCTCTTCTCCAAGGTTTCTTTCAGACTCGTTTGAAAACAACGCCTGCTCCACCTCCTCCTCCTCCTCCTCCCAGTAGGCAGGCTTCTCGTGGCCCCGCATTCGATCCGCGTCCATCGCTGACTGGCCTCTTCTGGGAGAAGGAGAAACGACAAGGCGGCGTCCTGCTCAGAAACCTACTCCCTCGTCCCCCCATTTTCGGAGGCCATCTCTTGGCGCTGGGGGCTGAAAAAAATAGCATGGGGCCATCACTGGGCCCAGGTACTTCCTTAGGGGTCGCGATGGGCAGCTCCTCTCCACACCTATGCCAACTGCCAGTGCTCATGTCGGCTCAGGGTCGTAGAGCAGGGAAGTCCCAGGGGTAGGGGCTCATCAGTAACGAATGTCTTTTTTTATGATGCACTTCAACTTCACTGATCTGAAGCGCGTGAATGTTTGTGGTGCCGTGGGACGGGGAATACGTTGAAACTAAAACCACTTACACCCCTGCAATAACATAACTTATCTGACTCACGTCCTCGACCGCCCAGTCCCAGTTTATCTTCTTGCCCCCGCTTGGTGGCCCAGGTGCCTGCGAAACCCCCATCGACAAGAAGCGCGACAAAGTCGACCTGTTTGCGATCCCTGACTTCTGCGGGCCAGATACCAAATCGACAACTCCTGACAAGAGTGAGATGGGCCTGGGCGCTAACAATACGGTGAGGTTGTTATTGCACGAATCTGGCATTCGTCCTCCTCTTCCTCCTCCTGTGTTCCTCATGCTGCCGATGCTGCCGATGCTGCTTATCCTTCTCCCCCTCCTGCTTCTCCTCCTCCCTCCCTCGCTGGACCCCTAACCCTTCGTCCCCCCTCATCGCACGACTGCGAATCAATGCTCTAACAACCCCACCGAAGCCAGACGCTGAGAAGGAACTTGTTCCTGTCAACCTTTTTGATGTTGGGGATCACATCAAGACCCCGGCGCGCAGCCGTAAGCGTCAGCGCCGCTGGGGGAAAACAGTAGAACCGGGGGTTTGGACTCCAAAGCTGCCGAAAACCAGGCACCTTGGAAAATCTTAGGGCATCGACGTGTGCCAGCCTGGACCTGGAACTATTCAGGGGGAGGAGATAAAGGAGGGGGCATGGGAGATAGGGACGTGAATGCAACACTCTGGCCTTGCATGCTGCGCGATGTTGTGCTCGGAGGGGCCGTGCACTTCGAGAAAACACAACTTGGCAGGTGCACAAGATGACAGCGATCCCTACTCTTGCAGCCTGCTCTTTTGCTTCCCTCAGTGTGCCGAGGGTTTGAAGATCGGATTTGTGTTTAAGTTCTCGGATTTTTCTGGGCCTCCAGGGGTGCTCTCGTCACTTCGACTGGATCTGCCCCGAAATCTCTTGCACACCGAACGCGCTCCAGGACAAGTCCATGGGCCGATTTCGAATGAGAGAACTGGGGGGGCCTGGGGCATGAGGAACAGTCGGTGTATGCACGCATTGTATGCACGTGCGTGCACTTGGCATGGCTTCAAACATACGTGCGAGCACATACATGCATGCACTTATGAGGAGGAGGAGGAGGAGGAGGAGGAGGAGGAGGAGGAGGAGGAGGGGCAGGAGGAGGAGGATGCTGAGGAGGAGGAGGAGGAGGAAGGAGGAGGAGGAGGAGGCGGAGGAGGAGGAGGAGGAGGAGGAGGAGGAGGAGGCGGAGGAGGCGGAGGAGGAGGAGGAGGGGCAGGAGGAGGAGGATGCGGAGGAGGAGGAGGAGGAAGGAAGCGGAGGAGGAGGAGGAGGAGGCGGAGGAGGAGGAGGATGAGGAGGAGGAGGAGGAGGCGGAGGAGGCGGAGGAGGAGGAGGACTCTGAAATTCTTTTCATCTGATGGAAATTCTTTTGATGTGACGAGTCGTTCGCGGCGCGGGGCGCTCGCCGCCGGCGGCGCCGCGGCCGGGCGGCCGCCGCCGCGCCGGCAGCCGCTGGGGCCGGCAGCCGGCCGCGGCGCGGGGCGCTCGCCGCCGGGGCGCCCGGCGGCGGGGCGGCGGCGGCGGGGCGGCGGCGGGCCGGCATCGCCGCCGAGGGAGAGGTGGGAGGGCACTGCGAGGATAGGAGAGGAGAGGAGGGGGAGGAGGGCGCGGGGGGAACGGAGGGAAGGAGGGGAGAGGAGAGGAGGGAGAGGAGAGAAGGAATGGAGGGAGGGAGAGGAGGGGAGAGGAGGGAGGGCGAGGAAGGGGGGGAGGAAGGAAGAGATGAGGGGAGAGCGGAGGCCGGACACCGCTGCTCAGGGGCCAAAATGGCTATAGGGAGAAGAGGGCGATGAGCGCGATGGGGGGCGATGATGGGGCGATGAGGGCGGTCGAGGGCCCGTAAGTTCGCGCTTCGCGCTGCGCGGAGCGCGAAACGCGAATAACTTCGCGCTCTCGCGCCGCCCCCCCCCCCTCCCCAAGGGGGAGAAGAGGAGGGCGAGGGGGGGGAGGAGGAAGGAGCCAAACTCCCTTCCGCCGCCGAGCTCCCTGCTGCTCCTTCTTCCTGCCGCCGAGCTCCCTTCCTCCTCTTCCTCCTCCTCCTCCTCCTCCTCCTCCTCCTCCTCCTCCTCCTCCTGCTATTCATTATGCTGCTGCTCCGCATCGTCGTCGCCGTCGCCATCGTCATCCAGCATCGTCGTCATCATCGTCCAGCTCCCGCATCGTCGTCATCGTCATCCATCGTCGTCATCGTCGCCATCGTCATCGTCATTCAGATCCCCCCTCCCGCCTCGTCGTCATCGTCATCCATCTGCCCGCCTCTTCCTCCAAACCACCGTCGTCATTCATCTTCCCCCCCCGGCGGGTTCGGTCCTCCGCCGTCGCGTCCGCCGCGGCCAGCACCATGGGCCATGCGGCGGCCGCGGCGGACGCGGAAGGGAGGGAGAGGAGCCAGGGAAGAGCGCGGAAGGGAGGGAGAGGAGGGGGAGGGAAGAGCGAGGGAGAGGAGGGGAGGGACAAGAGGGAGAGGGAAGAAGGAGGGAGAGGAGGGGAGGGAGGGAGGAAGGAGATGAGGGGAGAGCCCGGCCTCCGCCGTGCACGACAGCCAAAGCGGCTGTCGGCCCCCCCATCGTCGTCGTCGTCGTCCGTGTCGTCGCGTCGTGGTCGGCGCCGCCGCCCAGGGGTCAATCCTGGCCAGTGTTTCGAGCCGCGTCCAGCCGCGGCGGCGAGCAGCATTCCTCCTCCCCCCTCCCTTTTCGCCCCCATTAGCCCCCCTTTTCCCTCCCTTTCGAGCAGCGGCCGATAATTCGAGCAACATTCCTCCTCCCTCTTCCCTTTTTCTCTCCCCTCTCCTCCCTCCTCCCTCCTCTCTCCGCTTCTTCTCTCCTCTCTCCCTCCTCGTCCTTCCCACGCCTCCCTCCCCTCTCACCCCTCCTTCTCTATTTTCTAGTTCTTCTTTCACCCTTCCCTCTCTTCTTCTAAATTCCCCCTATTTCCGCCGGTCAAAGCCCCACCGCGCCCGCAAAGAGAAAGACCCCCCCAAAAAAGGGTGCGATCGAAGACAAAAAGGGCGGGTATCACATGAGTGGGGCATACGTGTTGAATGGCACGCGGAAAATGTTGCTGGCGGCCAATCACGTTAATTACCTGAGCCCATCTGGGGGGACAATATTTGGTCAACCGCTTCTCCTATTTATTGTATATGTGGTGTTTTTGGTCGCGGCTCGCTGGGTTGACGCTAGTGGCCCCAACAAGGCGATGGCACTATCCGTTGGCAGCCGATTGTCACCGTCGTTGATAGTCACACCAGGGACGCTGATGGATGCGACGCCACTCGCCTCCAGGAAAGAGACCAAGTCTGAGAGGGACATGTAGTGCTTGGAAGTCTGAAGGGCCTTTTCATCCTTCTCGCCGCCGTCCTCAAAGCTCACTCCGAGAGGGAAGAGGCTCTCCAGGGGCCCGTGCGCCAAGACCAACCTATCGAACGCTGCGCCACATTGGCCCTCCGCGATCGCCTGCTCGCTCACAATGCCGATGGTGAAGTTCAGGGTCGGAGCGATGTCAGCCATGCGAGCTGCCACGAAGCTGTCGGAGCAGACAGTATAGACCTGCGAACCTGCGCGGGCCTCACCCCGAATCCCTAAACCTGCCCCCCCCAAAATCCCTAAACCTGGGCCCCATCCTGATACCCGAGCCCCAGAAACAACCGACCGGTACAAGATCAAACCGGCCTCCCTGGACACCAAAACCGAAAGCGGTAAACCACTCAGTATGACAGGCCCAACGTGGAAAATGGGGTGATGCCAGCAGAACCTACAACGTCTTTGAAGTCGCCGAAGATAGAGCGGACCAACTCCACGCGGGCCGAGTCGGCGATGGAGGTCTCGACAAATGCCCCAAGCAAGTTCGACCAGGTCTCGTCGTCCACGATGCGCTGGAGGCCAGCGAACTTTATGATGTCATTGGTGAACTTCTCGCGCCCAGCATCAGTCGTGTCATGAATCAACGCCCCCGCCAAGTCCAAGCAGTACTTCAGGTAGGTCGGCATGTCGGTGCACAGGTTCACGACGTAGGTTAGCTCGGTCTCGTATTTGATCGGGTTCATAGCCTTGTGCTCCTCGCCAAACTCGCTGATGAAGATGTCGCCCATGCGCTGGTGGGCCAAGTTCCTGCACTTCAGGAGCCGCTCGTAGAGGTCCTTCAGGGTATTGGAGAAACGCGGCAAACTATCAATGAATATATCGATCGCCGCAGCGTACGTGTTCAGCTCAGCAGCGGTCTGCTCCAGACGTTCCTGATCCGCAGCCTCCTCTTCGTCTGGCTTAGACGCCCCCCGCTTTGAGATGCTCTCGAGCAGCAGGTTTCCCATACTCGCGCAAGTGAATCCCGCGCATGCCCAGTAGATCTCCACGATCATGTACTTACCGATCTCGAGGACTTCAAAACTGTTCTGCACGTTGACCACGAAGAAAGTGACGTTTTCCTGTGCGGATGCTGTAAACCATTTCAGGAGCAACGAATAAGCCCCCGTGAAGAAGGGGCCCATGCCTGCAAACAGAAGCTGAATCCCGACGAACCCGCCGTCTGTGTGGTCGGCGATGCTGTGTAGCATGGCGTCCTTCCACTGCAGCGCGTCGTCGAACAGCTGGCTGAAATGGTTTTCGAAGGATGCCGATGTGGCTTTGAAGGCGGACGTCGCCGCATCGTCAACGATGCTCTGATTCACGTGCAGCCGACTGGCTTCCATCAGCAACTTCGGAGCAGGGTAGGCGCACATCGATCGTGCAAGCTCCGGCGCGGGGCTGCTGGGCTGCTTGACCTGCTCGGCGATCACCCTCCTGGCCTTCCTCGCCAAGGCCGTGGCAGGCCTCAGCCTCTCCATGGGGTGCGCGCACATGGCGATCGTCACCGCGCTCTTCAGCACCTAGGGGTCCAAGTCTACTCTGCCCGCGCGAGGGCGACGACCGCGACGACGACCGCGACGACGAGGCGATGCGATAACGACGACGACGAAGATAATGAGGGCAGGAGCGAGAGACGGCAATAAGCATTGAGGGGATAGGGATAAGAAAGGCACGACGACCGCGAAGGCAAGGAGGGTGGCCACACGGATAAGGAGGACGACGAGAACAGTAATGCACGTAGGAGTGAGACGAGGCGACGGCGATCACGACGGCCACGAGGCGAAAAGGAGAGGTGGAGTGATATCTGAGGATGCGGAGGGCGGGCGGGAGTGAGATTAGCGACAACCCACCTCGGAGAAAGTAGCGTCCTCCACAGACGTCTCGATCTGCTTCGCCTTCGCGGCCCACTGCTCCTGTGCCCCGCAGATCTCCCTGATGACGACGCAGACCTGCCCGTCGTCCGCGATCGCGGCCCCGCCGAGGTCGCTCAACCAAGCGTTGATGCCGTCCGAGACCATGGTGGCCATGTAAAAGAGGGGCGTCTGGCCCCTGACCACTTTGCCCTGTGCGTCTTCCGTGGCTCGCTTCGTGCGCCTCGGCTTCTTCGTCGGCCGAGCGGCGGCCGACTCCGCTGCCGCAGCGCCCTGTGCAGCACGCCCGCCGCCCTCCGTCTTCACCGTCACCGCGGCCGCCGCGGTCGCTGGCGGTTCGGGCAGAGCTTGGATGAGGCGATCCCTCAGCGCCACCATGTGGGCGAGCGCCTGTGCGTCGCGCTTGCTCATCGCCGCCGAGACCGAAACCTGTTGCTTGATGATCCCCTTGAAGATCGCATAGTTGCAGATGATGTTCAGCTCTTCGTTCATGTAACCGTCGACTGTGATGTGGTAGCCCAGTAGCACAGCGAACGGCTTCAGCATGGCATCGAGAGCGTCATTGTCTGGCGACTCCGTCCAAGTTTTGATGCTCTTGTGCAATTCGATTATCGCCTTCACGCGCACCATGAACTGCTTGTAGGCCGCCTGGACGTCGTAGGGCGCCTTGTTCATGATGTCCGCCTCGCCTCGGTTCCCCAACCTCCTGGCGAGGGCGTGAACTGTGCCGAGGACGATGTCCTTGAACCAGGTCGGGGCGGTCATCTTGTCAACGTAGCTGTTGACCGTGCCCCTGATCCTGGAGAATTTGGAATACGCTGTCCCTGCTGACAGCGGCGCCGACACGGACAGGGGGGTGGTCCTGCGGTCGTCGTCGTCGAGAATGCCACCTTTCAGCTCTGGTTCATGTGCAAGCGCCCCTTCATCGGCATTGCCATCAGTCGGCCCGTCCACTGGCATGGCCATGAAGTCAGCGGGCAGCGGCGGTGGCTGGACATGCGCATGGGTCAACATCTCGACCATCTTGACGCCCATCAGCTTGAACTCCGCCTGGAAGCCCTCCTTGGCCTGAGCGTCGGTCGCGGGTGCCCCCTGAGCTTCCTCGGCGGCCTCGTCCGCGGCGAGGGGTGGGGCCCCGTCGCCGCCCGTCGGGGCGCCCCCCTGGGCGGCCGCGCCTCCGTCCTCATCCACGTGGGCAGCGCTCGCGGCGTTGCTGCCCTCGCGGCTAAACTGCCCCCTGCAGGAGCCGAGGCGCATGAAGGTGTCCTTCGGCGGCGCCACGTCGGTCATCAGGGCGTCGAGGGCGTCGGGGAGGTCCACGCACATATCCAGCGAGTCGAGTTGCTCGCCGCCGATCGGGGCCTCGCTCGCGGCGCCGCTGGCCATGGCGAAGTAGACTGTTCGACTCTGGTCCTGAAGGTCGAGGCTGCAGGCGCTGCAGTCGGGATCCACTCGCAAAGACTCAACGTTGCGCGACGGCAATCAAACAATCAAACCTTTGAACCAAAATCAACAACAAGTATTGTGAGTTAATTGGGCGGACGGGGGGCCCGCGTGCCAAAGCGGCGCTGTCAGCGATCACCCGCGGGCACTGCGGCCAGAAGAACCCCGTGAAGGCCCCGCGGGAACGCCTACATGCACCACGGAAGCCTCGATGTTCAATACCTGTGAGCACCGCGGTGATTGTATAACAACTGACAAACCCAAGAGGCACCGCGTCGCCCTTGGGCGTGGCCGTTTTCGGCGAGCACCACGCAGCCTGTGATTCACACTCTGCAGAGCCGACAATGCCCCTCATCATTCATCATCCCCTTCGCCCTACCGCCCATCATCGCCCTCCTCCTCCTCCTCCTTCCCCCCCCCAGGCTCACCAATTCGCTTTCCCGCGCCCCCTGCCCCCGCCCCCCATGGGCCCAAGCGGGCTGCAGCCCGCGGCGCGAAAGGGCCCCCGCCTCATCGGCGCATCCGAAACTACAGGTCGAGGGTGACGGAAGGAGGGGCGGCGAGACGCGGGGGAAGGGAAACCAGGTGGGAAGGCGACGGGGGTCGGAGAGAAGCAGGATGAGCAAGCGGCGGTGGGAGGCGGGGAAGACAAGGAGGAGGCGGAGGGCGAGGGCGGGGCATGCGGCAACGGTCGGATGGGCGCGTGATCAGGGCCGGAAACGAAGGGCTGATGAGAGGGGACAAATTTTAAGATAAACCCAAGAAGCCCCAACGGAAGTACCCTCCGTCTTGTAAGCGGAAACCCACCGACCCCATCGTGGGTCTCTAGGCGTGTCGATCGAATGTGCCCGCGGACATCGTCGCCGGGAAATGTCCTTGGGCCTCGACCATGTATACGTCGTGTAAGTAGTGAGTGCGGCATCTCTCTCTTGTGTGCACGTTATGTATAGATGGTGTTTCGCTTATAATTGTGTAGCAGACGGGTTGACGTGAATATGTCTAAGCGCCATCGTGGAAATAGTGACTCGCCTGCACCTAGGTAGTCTTAGTAATGTAAGATGAGTGCTTGAGCGATGTGCATGCCTTGTCTGAGTAGCGTCCAAGGACTTGCCCTGCGCGTGGTGTGTAATAAGTGCACCATGACCAGGCGCGCGCATGACATGATCTGGCCATGTGCGCTGTATACATAAGAAGTCCGCATGGCGCGCCTGCGTACTGGAGTGCTAATGCGGCTTGAATGCAAACGTACTGGATATCTAGTGTGCCTATGGGATGCGTCGGGAACTCCTCGGCGCAGTCTGCGCTACGTTCCAGAACTGTTTTGATATGGTTTATGTTCGGTAAACATCATGTCTTCGGAAATGGATGGGTGAAGCATTGGTGCCGTGTAAATGAAGTGGGGTTGTACGTGGCACTTCCATTGCGCCTGTAAGTTGCGACTGGGTCGCGATTGGACCACTCCTGCGGAATGCATGGCCACTTCCAGAGTGCCTCAATAGTGTCTAGGTGGCCCAAGGGCGCTGCCGAATTCAAAATAAGTAACGAATTGGCAATGCTAGCAGGGCCATCGACACGCATGGCTCGCACCCTCCATGGCGTCTAAATATCTAACCAGCGATGCAAAGGGCTACGCCACGCTAGTGAAACGCGTAGGCATGTTTACGGGGCATCTACTGATGGCGACCTACGGACGCGGCTGCGCCTGGACAGCTGCACGGACATGCGTTCGCAACTCCGATGCGATGTCGAGGCGATGGCGCAGCAATGTCAAGCAAATGCATGGGCAGCCTCTATGCCGCGCTCGCGCGACGGATGCCGCGCGCGCCGAGTCCCAACCTAGCCTAAGTAATGTCTAGGGAACGTTCTGCACATTGCGAAGTGACCGAGGAGTTCAAATGCGTCCGGAACGCCGCCCATCACATGCATCTAGTCGCCGACGAGAAGTCCATTTTAACGCCTGCGTGCTTTCTGATGCAAGGCTACGCGCGGAAAGAGCTAGGTTTGCCCGCGGCCTCCCCATGCGAGCCAATGGCTAAGCATCTGCCTTGCGCCAGGGAGGTTTGGCGTTATGATCGGGCAAAACCCGCGCGCGGGCAATGGCCATGGGCCATTGGGTGAATCCTCTATGTATACTTGGTGGCCACGCCAGTACGCAATGCACTGAACTGGTTATCTGGAAACGCCTACATGGCGTTTACGCGACCGCGGCCGCGGCCATCAAGACGCCCCCATTGCAATCCGCAGTGGGCGGGCGGCGAGCGCCAGAAGTCGCGCGCGCGCGCCGCCCGTCGCGCGGGCGGTCGTCGGCGTCGCGCGCGTCGCGCCGAGGCGGCGCGGCAGAAGCCCCCGCCTGCGTTCGGCGGTGAGCAGCGCGCATCGTGCGCTTATGCCGCCGCTAGGGGAATCGAAGATGGCGCATTACACCGCCGCGGGCGATTCAAACGGCGCGACTGAGTCGCCGCGCGAGGAGCGACGCGGCGGGCTTATGCCGCTTAGCCATGGGCAAGAGAGGGGCAGTAAGACGCCGAAGTGCAAGTCAAAGGGTAGCAGTAAAACGACGCGGACACGTCAAGAGGGGGCAGCGCGGTCGGCGATTTTCAAGAAACAAGAGGGCGGCGACGGAGAAGCGCGCAGAGGCGTAGTCAACGCGACAGAGCAACGCGCAGACGCATAGTCGACTCCCGTAGTCAAGGGCAGAGCAGCGCGCAGACGCGTAGTCAACTCGCGTAGTCAAGAGCAGAGCAGCGCGCAGACGCGTAGTCAACTCGCGTAGTCAAGAGCAGGGCAGCGCGCAGACGCGTAGTCAAGAGCATGACGCACACCACCATAGCTAAAGGCATGACGCAGACCAGCGGTCGAACCAAAACATGCCGCAGAGACGCCGCCAAGAGCAGCTCTCAGAGCCGCACGCAAAAGCCCGCGCATCGCGCGCGGTGCAGAGTGAAACTTCGCATCCTTCGCCTTAAGCGAATCGCGCCTCGCTGCGACTTGGGCGCCAGCAGGATCGTGCTCGGGGACTCGGAGATGCGGGGCGGCGCGAGCAGGGGGAAAGGGGCGCTGGGGGCGGCGCCTTGTCCTTCCACTCCGCCGTGAAGCCGAAGTGTTCGCGGAGACCTGCGGCGGGATGCAGCCGAGGCGCCTGCGGCGGGAAGTGAATTGGTCAGGGGAAGCAAGCGGCGGGCACGGGCGATCGGGGCGGGGTAGCGGGATGCGCCGGCGCAACTTCGACGATTCATCGATCCCCGACGAGGGCGACCACCCAAATCTGGACCCAGCGATCTCGACCCAAACCGACACTCACAACCTAACGATAATCTGGCGGCACACGCGGGGCGGGGTGGATTTCACAGCGACCCTGGGCGGTCGTGGCATGGGGGATTTCCGGAGGTACCTTCAGCCGCAGCTGAACAACGGGCACTACCCCGCCCCGAAATTGACGCCCCTCCCCTGCAGACTTCGAACCGCCCCTCGCCCAAGAAGGCCCCGAGCCACGCCTATCGGGCGGGCCCTCCGCATGATTCCCGAGCCGCGCCCAGCGGCCACGTCCCACCCCGATCAAAGCGGCGGGTCTCAACCTGCTCACGGTGGATCATCTTACCTTTACCTCTTCGCCCCAACAGGGGGATGCCTCCCGTGAGCTTCGTTGGGCAACCCCCGAGCCCCTGGGTTTCGTGATTAGCCGATAATCGAACGGCGACCGCCCCGCAGATCCTGGGCGAGCCTGGACGATGGGGCCTGAACGAAGGCATGTCGGGCCAACCGACGCAGGCGATCCGATCAGATGTTGAACAACTCCTGACCCCCCCGATTTCGAACAACCGCACTGACTGGCGATCAACGACAGCATCTTGACCCACCCATGATCGCGCCGCGGGGCCAAGTTGAAGCGCCCCGCGGGCATTGCGCCGCCCCCGACGCATGAAACTTTCAACCGCCCTGATCTGGAAGCTGCCCCCCCAGGGAGATTACGCCTGCCATTCAACAGGTCCCCAGCAACCCTGACGGAAGCATGGCGCGATCATCCTGCACCGCCCATGGCCCTGTGCAACCCCAGCACGCGTGGTCTGCCCAGGGGTGGTCTCGGTCCCCGCCGATAGAGGGGGGCATCCCGAATATCGAGCGCCGCTCATAACTGCCAGCGACCTGGGCCCGACCCGACACAGGAGATCAGCCCACCTGGTCTTCAGCTGCACAAGCGCGGCGGCCTGCCACATTCGACTGTCGGGCCCAAGACATCAATCTCACTGCCAATTCAATGCGTCACCCCTGGCAACTGCTACGCAAGGATGGCTTGATTGCATGCGACCATGCGCACAAGCCCAGCGATTGCCACATCATCATGCACATAAGCACATGCAACATCACAACGCGCACACACATAATGTATACGTATAAGCACGTACGCGAATAGTGTACTTATGCATGTGGTATTGTGCGTACACGTGAGAGCTTCAGTGTGATGCGCGTTGCGTTGGACGTGGCTTGTAATATCGTGGATATAAACATGCTTATACGCCGAATGTTTGTTTAATGTCAGTTGTAGAAGTTGTTCGCATCGTGTTGTTCGCGCGCAAGGTTGGTGATGGCCAGTTGCGTTGTCTATTGTCGTATATGGTGGGTGTGTGTCATGCGCGTGCGTGTTGGGCGCGTGTTATTGCTGATGTTCGTGCCGTGCGTTCTGGTTGTTGCTTTGGTGTGCGCTCGAGGTGCGGCCCTGGGCCCGCGTTATTGCAGTGCGCTCGCCGCGCGTGTTTGCGCGGCGTGCCGCTAACTATGCAGTGCGCAGTGCGTTGGTGGCGTGTGCCCCCAGCGGCCCAGTGGCCTGGTTTCGAGATGTTCTGGCCCCGCGGAGGGCCGAAAGGGCGCCAAGACAGCCCAAGAGGCCCCGAGGCGGCCCGAGGGGTGCCCAATGCGGCCCAGAAGGGCGGCCCAGAGAGGATGGC